ATTAAAGTATGTTATTATGTACATCTTTTGCGCTGTTATTTATTAAGTTTGATTAGGAAGTGTTGAAATAATCGTATTTCATATCGAATCAGGTCGCGGCGGGCAACTGTGCGCATTTTGAAATGCGCACAATTATCCATTTTCCATATACTATATGATTCGCGTTAATTTTTTCGTTTTTTCTTTACATTATTATTTTATTTTGCCATTATATTTTGCCAAAGTCTATGTGCATTATTATTATTATATTAGTTTTGTATTTTTGCTTAATATATATAATATATATTTAAAATATACTTAATATATATTTATATTGAAATGTAATAAATATATTTTCTGATTTCTCTCTTTATCAACATTCCATAATTCATTCATTTCCTACGATTTTTGCTTTGCGCACAATTACCCCACATAGCATTTCTTTTATAGGATATCCTAATTTGATCAGAGTGCTCCCATTCTGATCGAAAACATTAAATCGTCCATATGATTAGCTCAGGACATTTGTAATTATCATTGTACTAATATAAAACGTCCCTAGGATATTCTATTTTGACCTGAAAAAATTTTGATCACTATATTGATAAATTGCATTTTTCAACTTCCGACGCATACTATATATATATATATGTCATGTACATTTACGTATTTTACGTATATTATAGACATATCTTTGCAATTTAATTATTAATTTTTTAAATGTATACATAAATATCCCACACAGACATACTGAAAACTATCCTTTGTTTCGCGGAGGAAGAATTTAATCATATTTATTTTTATATGTTATTAATTTGACAGTTGCAGCTTATTTTGTTTTTTGTTGTGCATAATTTATTTTTAAATAAGTATATGATTATTTATTAATTGACAAAGCAAAAGGAGTTTTCGGTTTATTTTACAAAATCGATTCTATCGATTGTAAGTACTGTTTTAATGAAAATTGTCCATTTTACTAATTAAACTAACTATGAATAACTCTATCTAAAAAAAGCATTTTCAGAATTCAGAAGCTCCACGAGCACACTCTGATCAAGATAAGAGTAAGTGACAAACTCCATTTGCATACGCCTCTTTATAGGGATCCGCGTCATTTTCTCCTTACGGAAAACGAGTCCATTTCGTGGCGATACTGTGTACATACTATGCCGCTTGGCTGCGCCTCTGAAAGTACTTTTTTTAAATAGAGTATTCATAGTTAGTTTCTTTGGCCGGTATTCATAGTCGAGTCTTATTTCAAGACTGTCTTAAGTAATGTCTTAAGACACTAATGCGGCCCTCTGATTGGTTCGTGACATCTTAAGACTGCACTTAAGACGGTCTTGAATATAAGATCTGACTATGAATACCGGCCTATGACGCATACTCATTTCCTGCATTTTATGTCGTACCGAGATACGAATATACCCTTGTAAAAAAGTACTACTGCCCAGTAATACTCAGTAGTATTTTTTTTACAAGGGTTTAACATCCTAAAAGACATTTTAGGACGTCCACTGAATAAAGACAGGATGAAATTTGGTCAACCCGAAACATCCTAATAATATTTAAACGATGATGTCCTATGGATGTAGAATAAGCGGACATATAAACATCTTCAGTATATCCTAAATATCTCCTAAGTTTCTTCAGGTACATACTCTGGATGTTTAAAAATCTCTCGACATACATCTGTAGGACGTACCTAGGATCAATTTTTGCTGTGTTGGACCCCATGCACGAGAAATTTTTTCGCTTTTCCGTTTTTTCTTTTTTACCAAATACAACCTTATTAAATGAAAATCTGCTCAATATAAAGATACGTAATGGTAGAAGAATGCTTATAGTTTCTATTTCCATACTTATATCGCTTGAAACTTGGGGTGCGTTCCGAGTTACACATGAAGCGCGTAGACTGCACAGAGCGTTCCGTATTTACTATCGCGCGCTTCGAAAGCACTTCGAAAGTGCTACGAATTCCCCAGATTGTACTAACCGTATCTAGAGTCTTATAGCGTTTTCGATTGGGAAAAAGTGCGCCAGTGCGCATTCAGTTCACATTGGCTGCGTTCAGCAGAGAAAG